TTTAGGGGTTGAGCTAGCACTTTGAGGAGGTTGTTTAACACTCATATTTAAGCAAGGAATCAGTTCTTAATCCACCTTGACCGAAGCTTTGACCATTGGATCAAGAAGGAAAAGTTTAAAGCTCAATTAAGGTGAGGATCGACATCTAATTGCTTACAATTTGTAGGTTAAGCATGAGATTACCTAAATGCCTAAATCATGATTTTCATGGATTATGATGCCTAAATATTGATGAAAAATGGATATAGTTGACAGTGAATGAATTTGTAAATGATTTGAGGTTGTATGCATAATATGAGATTAAATGAGTTATTAATGAACTATTTTGTGAAATAGGCATTATACTCATGTATTAAATATGTGGATACATAAATGGATATTTATGTATTGAAGTTGAATATTTAAGTTGCTGCTACATACTTATAAATATGTAGAGAATTACAAAATGAGGATATTTGTATGATGACAATAATCTTAATAGTATTGAAATACTAGTTAGTGATTATTTGAAATTGTTGATAGAATTGATCCTAAGTATTGGATTGTATGAAATGCACTTGAATGTACTTCAATTGTATAAAATGACTTAGTAAGAAGCTAAGGGTAAGTTATGGGCAGTCATTAAGAATGACCCAAGGTAGATTATTGAGATGTCAATTCTAGGCATAGGTTTGCTTAGGAATTGGACTATAATGAAGAATTAGAGCCGGACTCCATGATTGCATGGAAACGTAGTTGGGCCGAGCCCTTGCCATGTAATTGTGATTTGCATGGAAACGTAGTTGGGCCGAGCCCTTGCCATGTAATTGTGATTTACATGGAAATGTAGTTGAGCCGAGCCCTTGCCATGTGAATTGTGATTTGCATAGAAACGTAGTTGGGCCGAGCCCTTGCTATGCAAATGTGATAGGATGTACTTGACATAAAGGATTGCATAGAAATGTAGTTGGGCCGAGCCCTTGCTATGCAATGGTAATGTGATGAACTCTATGAGTTGTCGTGATTAGTAATCACGGGGAATGGGAAATGGTGATTTCTAAATAAACATGGGCCTACGGGCCGACTACTTGACTTTGATATAAAGTAAGTATATTTTTTTAAATGGGGTAACTTGAGGTTACAATCATATCGTACTATCACCCTATTTGAGGGTCTTATGTTTGAAATACTTGTTGTATATCCCTTAGATGCCATCAGCACCAGTACTTTATAGCCCTATAGAGTACTGACCCCTTCGGGGGCGTCCCACCACCATTTCAGGTTGAGGCTAGAGCTTGCTTCCTGTGCTCGTTGATCGAGTGATTTCCAGGAGAGAATACTTGGTCTGTGCTTCCTCCATTCTGATTTGAACACTAATAAATTTGCTCATGGATATTTTACTTTAGAGCCTGCGTGCTCATGTTTGCCCCGTGTGGCATTTGATTTCAAACTATGTTTTCCGCTGCGTATTAAATTACTTATTATGTATGTTTATGGATGACTTACGTGTGAATGATATTCATGACGCCTTGTATAATATGGATGTGTTTGACTATGGTTGACTATTCGTATTGTACGGCGGGTCCCCCAACAAGAAGTAACTCACTCGTCGCAGCAGCTCATACCAACACTATCTCTCTCTCTCTCTCTCTCTCTGACGAGCACTCTAGAAGCTAGGACATTGAACAATATTCCTTTGTCCCCTTTATGTTTGAAATCAACTTGATATTCTTTCTTTTTGGACAATTGTGCTCTCGGGTCCACTCAGGCCCAACAACTGTAATCGTAATTTTTTACTTCGGGCAGCAATAACGCAAAATTGTACTTTGTTGTGGCTAAATAAATTTAGGTAGATGAACCCGTCATCTACCGCACCCTAGGGTGTTTTATTTCGGGTGGAAAAAAAGATTGTACTAAGTTCAATTCAGCAATCATAAAATTAATTCAGTTGAATTAGAGTTAGAAAATGTGTTATTTGTCTTATCCTTATTACTTATTGCATATTCTTATTTTATTCATATCAAATAAGAAAAATTTAGATCAACTCATGTTCGAGAGATTCAATCAGATTAGATCACAAAAATTCAAACCATATTAGGAAGATTCAGATAAAATAAGATCAGATCATAAAGATTTAGACCAGATCAGAATAATTAAAATCAGATCAGAAAAGTTCAAACATGATTTTACCATCATCATCATCATCATCTTCATCATCATCATCATAAGGGTTTTTCAAAAGTATTACTAAAATAAAACTTATTTACACAAATATGACTAATAGTTACTTCAATGTAGTGTTGTGGTTATTTAAGTTTAAAAATTCAACATAAGTTACTATGATTCCATTACTCTTCTAATCACTAGTCACATTTTTGTAAAGAATTTTTATTTTTGTCATAAATATGTAATTATTTCTTCTCATCATCATCATCATTATATTTTCAATGTGACATTGTTTTACCGCCCTGCACTCTATGTCATACATTGATGTAGGCCTAATTGTTGTCCGATAAAATTTACCCTTTAATCGAGTCGGCATGCCTCGATCACATAGAACTCCTTATGCATTCTTCCATTTCATCCACCATGCTCGGGTTATATGGGATACATCCACCATCTAATTTACAATCCTTCTGAAATATGGAGGTCAAGTAGCTGAACATATCACATACTAGTATCTCCTTGTAACCAAGAGTAATCCAACTTTTTTTATTTCCTTTGAACCCCAAAAAGCAATGTAATTTATCAAACTGATAATCAAAAGGTCCTTCAAAAACAAAAAAGCATAAACAATGCAAAATAATCATTCTTGGAGACAGATGCTGCTATGGTATGGTTGGGTGCGAGTTGAAGTTGAGACAGATGTTGCTATGGTGATTTCTAGTATACAAGATGATCTCGAGATTTCTTAGGTGGGATTAATGTTAGAGGATGCTAAATATTTACTAAAGGAAAATGATGACCTAAGAATCTTATGGTGTAAACGACCTACGAATCAAGTAGCTCATGCTTTAGCTAGAGCCTTTGTTTCTAAGCCAGGTCATGATAACAATTTTAGTATTCCTACTGATGATATTGTAAGCTGATTGGCGAATGATTTGTTGAATTAATGAGAGGCTATTTTCTATATAAAAAAATCATTCTTGGAGACAAGATCTATGTAAGAAACTAGTTCAAATGGATTTCACGCAAAATGGAGTAAAAATGCAAAAATGATCTGGAAATTCTAACTCCTCTTTTGTATGACTGAATGGCTAAGCCTTTCCGGATTTTCTTGTCACCAGCTGAGATTCGGGCTCTTTCTTGACAGGTTCTTCGTTTTCAAACAAGATCAATTCAATGTGGCAGGGAGATGACATGCATGTATGGGTTAATTCTCCCATGAGCACGGTATGTGCATCACCTTTGCTTTTGTGCTTGATTCACTTGAATATGGTACTCCCTCCGTCACGCTAAGATTGTCCCAGACAATATTCACTTGGTCAACACAAATCACTCTTAATCTCTTACTTTATATATCAATTTTTTTTTATCAAATTTGATTCTGTTTTGTGTGACTTTGTAAAGCTTTTAATGTAGTTTCTGAATATATTTTTTTCTAAAAGTAATTTGAGTGCGGACAGGGATCTGTTTGCTTTATTGTCAGTCAAGCATTGTAAACCGAATTGTCCCAAACTTAGTGGGACGGAGGTAGTAAATGATTAGGGAATCTACATCTAACCATTTCACCTCAGCATTGCTTTCAGCATTCTTGAGCAAATCAAGAATAAACTTTGCAGATTTTGCAGGTCAACATCCTTGTCCATTAGGGTGTCTATTCTTTGCCTGTGCAGTTCGTCCCACATCATGGCAGAAACGAGTGAAGGGGATGGCTTGCTTGTGTGCCAAAACATCCTCCAAATACCTTTTAGCCTTCACTGAAGTCTGAAGGCAACTTCATGATAGCATGAGTTGTTTCCCTAGTGTTCTTGAAATGAACCCTTGGATCAGAGCCTCCGGCTTTACAATACTTGGTGTGATTGTCTGGCTCTCTAGAGTACTTCACCATTGTGCTTGCAATGTTCACCTGTGACTTGCGTGCAAGCGGATTGGAGGAGCTGGAGGGTAATCCCACTACTACTGCATCTACTTCCACCAAACTTGCACTCTGTATACTTAGTATTGCTTCAACTCAGTCTAAACGCCTTGGTCCTCCGTGTATGTCTCCATACTTCCAACTTTAATTTAAGGCTAAAGGGTCAAATAGACCCTTGAACTGACTTAAAGTGTTCAATTAGCCCCTTATATAGGAGGTTCTGCCCGGCCGTCGCTAATTGGGGCTGTTCCCGGTGGAATTTTTTGATGAAATTTTTTGAGCATCTTCTTCATTAAGTCTAGTTTACTCATACCAAATTTCAGCTAAAAATTCAACCGGAAAGGCATTCAAATGATTTTCCGAAATGTACCGCATTGTTTAACTTCGCAGTTATCTTCAAAAAATCATTTGACTACCTTCCCGATTGAATTTTTAGCTGAAATTTGGTATGAGTAAACTAGACTTAACGAAGAAGATGCTCAAAACCTTTCATCAAAAAATTCCACCGGGAACTGCCCCAATTGGCGACAGCCGGGCAGAACCTCCTATATAAGGGGCTGATTGAACACTTAAAGTCGATTCAGGGGCCTATTTGACCCTTTAGCCTTAATTTAACACCAAATTGTTAATACTACCTCCTTCCTACTAACATTGAGATATTAAGAGGCAGCATAGTTATTAAGAATAGTGAGTTTATGTGGCTGATTTTGAATTGATAAAATAAGAATAAAGTAAGAACGATTTAGAGCCACACAAAATTTACCAAAATTGGTATGAGACGATCTTAAATTAGGACTTTACGAAAAGGAAAAGTGAGAGAATCTTAGCGGGACGGAGGGAGTAACTTGTAAAAAAAAAAGTAGAAAATTATACTTCCAAGTTTTCTCTAACACAAAAAAATAGTTATAATAATTCTTAACTAAAAATTAGAAAAAAGTCTAACCTCACATATTATACATTTGATGTCATTGCCTCGAAGTTCATTTAACTCTTCTTTTGAAATTTTGCCTCATGAGAAAGGTAGCGATTTAGGGTCCCCATTTCAATAATAATTCCAACATCATACCTCAATAAATTATAGGCCAACGGGGGTGTGCACACTAATTAATTTGGCCTCTTGAGATCCAATGCAAATTTCAAACGAAGAAAATTATAGAATTATGTAGTGCAATTATTTACTCTAATTGATCTATAATATGCCTTTTCTGCATTGTCCATCCTGATATAAAACATCTGTGCCTCTCTTTGACCTCTTTCTCTCACCTGCAAAAAGAATTGTTTCATAAAAAAGATGTCATCTTTTTTCAATTATTCTATTAAAGGCACACACATATATATTGGATCAAATAAAAAGTTACCTCAATGTGCATTAATAACTCATATGTTTATTAAAAGATATCATCCTTGCAATGTTAAGGGAGCTATTAACTCATATTTATTCGAGAGCTCCCTATTTGATGCATTAATAAAATTTATTACAAATATGTGTGTGTGTGTATGTATGCATGCATGCATGCATGCATGCATATATATAAATATACATATATGCATCTTATTCATAGAATGTTGCGCATTGCTCAATAAGTAAACATGTACTTAAAGAAGAAAAGAAAATAATATTACATCTTCAAAACTAAAGTTTATTTTGTATTAAACTAGTTCCGCGATTAGTAGTTCCATAGTATTTTTATCATTGCATGTTTTCACATTGGTTCACCATCGTTTATCCTAATTCATTGGATTGTATACGGATTCATATTGATTGGTTATCCTATACAATAATTCCATTAATGTTCTAATATGATAGTAAGTAAATATAGTCATCAATACTCTTTGAGATGAATATAGCTATCACTTCAAAGAATACAATTTATTTGAAATATTATTTTTTATCTCAAGAAGAATTATATGATTTCTTCTACTATACTTGTGTCATTCTTTTAAATATCATGTTTAGTACTATATACATTTTCATGATTTTTATAGGTGGGTGTCTTTATTTATGCACACATATTTAATGAACTTCTTTATTACTTCGTGTGAAACAAATATAAACAATTATTGTGTTTGAACATGATGAATATTGTATACGGAGTAATAAGTTTTTTTTTTCAGAAGTATTCATCTGCCTTCACGTCACTTTGATTAAGATTAAAGGGAGTAAGGTCTACAAGTTCATTTAATTTTCTTTAACATTTACCCTCTTCTTTCATATATTCTCAAATTCTGCAGTTAATTGTTTGATTCTTTATGGAGAGAAAAGAGCCAAAATGGAAAATAGAGAGTATCAGCACGGATATATAGTATGAAACACTTATTGTGATATGAGTTGCAATTTCAAGAAAAGAATTTGTAATTAAAATGTATACATTTGCCAAAAATGATATAGACATCACTAAAATGTATACATTTGTCATCATTTGGAGTAGTAATAAATCTTGTGGACTTAGGTTGTAGAGTATAGCATAGAAAGGAAGAAAATAGAGAAAAATATAGTTGCTAGATGCATCATACATTGGCATGGTGATATTTATGATGTGGCGAGATCATGTCGACTTATGGCAAATGCATTCAATGCCTATGAAGTGTGTGTTCACTTTTATATACATAACTCAAAGTTTCATCGTATTCTTACAAGGATTTCATGCAAAGAAAGCGCATGTAGTCTCAAATTGTTGTCTTGAAAATGTAATAGATGAAAGGTATCTATTGATGGGTGTAAAAACACCCTCTTGAATAATGGAGATTAATTCTCCATTAAGATATGACCTAAATTGAAGAGTGGAGACATGCATCATCATAATTAGATCACTACTTGGTTGAGTGGAGGCTCACAAAAGAAAAACATATATATAAGGTTGTCAATAAAAACTACACCGTGGTTTCCTCGTTCTATAGTTAACATGTTCTAACTAGCTTTATAGAGGACTCTACTAGTAACAACATGTTATTACCCCTCAGTTCTCTGGCAAATTGACTATCATATTCGTAAAAAACTGATCACCATTATATAAACACGCTTTCGGACTATTTTTTATGCTTTAGAAGACTAGTATCTACTACTCCGTATAAAACTTCTAAGCAACTTACAGCTATCAATGTTGTAGGATTCTGTATGAGCCCTATATACCTAACAACCCATTTCTAATCATCGTTAATGAATATATCAATTTAAATGCTTTATATCATGAACCGATGAGTATTTCTTAAAAATGCTTTACAGAAGCCCCCTATATATAAGCAATCAATAATGTTAGTATATATGTCCTAGCGACAATCACTTTTTAGAGATATATGTACTTGATCACATTCAGTTTTATATATTTGATATATACGATATTACACATTGATGATTAAGTATTTCGATTGTCAATGTCTTATTCATAATTGTGTTCCCTTAGACTTATGTTGTCAATAAGTAAGTGAGAGCTTATATGATATATAACATTAGGGTCTTAAAACAACCTCAATCAATGATCATCAAGAAAGGATATTGATGATATGCGATAAGATTGGTATGCGGACTGCATCATACTTTTAGAAAGTATAGTTGATCTCACAACTATGAGTTTCTGTAATTCATGATGGTCACATAGATATTTTAGAGAATATTGATATACCCATCGTGAAACCATTTGATAAGTTCTATTTATGTGCCTATGGAATTATCGGCGTATAGAGTAGTGTAATAGTCCTCCGACTTGAGGTCAATACGTACTACATGTGCGGAGTGATGTACTTTGACCATAACCAATGCTTGCACTCCAATCACGGTAGATACGGCATGTGTTGGGTGCATCACGAAGCACATGGAGTAGTAGTTGAGCCCAAAAATGACTCATTCCTCGTCATAGATTAAGAGAGAAGATTCTACTTCTCATATCGAGATGGATCATAAATTCATTGGTCAATGCAAAAATATATCCGTTTTGGATATTGGATATGATCATTATGGATCATCTAGAAAGATTGAGAGATAGAGACTAAGTTATTGGAATAGACACAATATCAAATTCTAGACTTATTTGAATGTTCGTTGAATGAAAATGATTGTATCACTATGAGCTCTATATTACAGGAAGTTTGAATAGTCTTCGCAAACGTCCTTACAAATTAAGTTTGTCTGGAGAATCGTCCAAGGATTCTACAAACCTTAATTTGATTAGTGCTTATATATAGGCCCTATGAGTCACACAACAAGTGATTATACCTTATGATTGAATTGTTAGAAATAATTAAATATTAATGGGATTAAATAATATTTAATTCGTAATACTGAAAGTGGATTAAATATTAATTAGATTAAACATATTTAATTCATGAAGTTGAAGGATAGTTCTATTTGATAGAATTAATTACAACAACAACATTGAAGCCTTAATCCCAAAAAATTTTGGGGTCAGCTAACATGAATCGATCCATGATATCGATGCTAAAAAGAGAAAACCGAAAAAAGAAGAAAAAATGTAAGATAAAATGGAAAATATAAAGATAAATAAATGTAAGATAACAATAACATAAGAATCTACGAAAGGTAAAAGATGAAAAGATAAAAGAGCATAAAAATGTTATAACATAAGAACATAAGAGATAAAGAAGATAAACGATAAAAGAAACAAAGAGAGGAAAGTATTTAAATAAATACTTAATTTAATCTAATCTTCCCAAATTAAATATACAAATTAAATAAATATGCATGCATGTAGGGCCGGGTTCGGTCGGGTACCAGACCGGATTACCCAAATCACAAACTGAACCAACATTTCGGTTCTTAGAAGATCACAAACCGAACCAGCATTTCAATTCAAGTAACGATACATCGGTAACTGAAATTTCGGTTCGGTTTACACCAAAAGCGACTAACCGATCACAATCTTTTACAAAGGTTGAAGGTAGCTAGTAATTTGGACAAGTTGCATGCTTGACTCCAATCGGAGGAGAGAATTATATAGTGGAATATGTACGAGGTATCACCTACTCCCACCGGTGTGGGAAATATTAGTTTGAAGTATGTATAAAAGACTTAAAAAGAACTCGAAGGAAAAGGTTGCTCGGGGGATTTGAACATGCACGGGTGGCGATACAAATTAAGAATGGAACAAGGGATACCCTACCACCAAGCCATACAAACTTCGGAGACTTTATCTTATTATCTCATTATCTGATTATCTCATTCCTCAGGTGGTCTTTCCTGGTATGTCCCCACATTCAACGCAACATATGCATCTATGCCACACTCATCTTCTGAATGTGATATTGTTTCACCGTCCAACACTCTACGGCATACATTGATGCATGCCTAATTGCTGTTCGATAAAATTTACCTTTCACTCTAGTCGGCATACCTCGATCACATAGAAATCCTGACGCACCCTTCCATTTCACCCACCCAGCTCTGATTCTATGGAATAAATTAGATTTATTATACTTAATTAAGATGTATTTCTAATTAAATAAAGTTGATATTTTCTTTTAATACCTTTCGGAATTGGATTAAAAGAAAATTCAAAAAAATAATAATAATATATGGAGTAAAGGTAGGGTAGCGGTTAAAGCCACTCCCTAGCCTTTCTCTTATTGTTATTTTATTATTATTTATTCTTTATATTATTTAATTAATATTTAGTTAATAAATGAGATAAAATAAATAATATAATAAAGGGTGGAGAGTGGTGTGCAGCCCACTTTCCCCTTATTACTAGTTAGTTTGATTTATTTATTTATTTATTTATTTATTTATTTGATTAAATAAATGACATTGGTTCTAATTGGATTAGAATTCATTGTTAGAATCCCACACCGGAAAAGTTTGAATCAACAAAGTGCTATATTAAGATGTGAGATCCTCCTCCTATCAGGTTAACCTTTTAGGATGGAACCCCGTGTCTTAACATGGTATCAGAGCCAAATCGATCAATGATGTGGGTCCACTTATGAAAAATGACGACACGATTATGAAAAAATGACAATGACGAACCGACGGAAAAAATGAATGACAGCACGATCCAGACGAAGTGTCCGGTCGTGAGGAGGGGTGTTAGAATCCCACACCGGAAAAGTTTGAATCAACAAAGTGCTATATTAAGATGTGAGATCCTCCTCCTATCAGGTTAACCTTTTAGGATGGAACCCCGTGTCTTAACACTCATTAATGAGAAATACTTTCATTGTGATTGAGAAACTAGTTTAGAACTAGTATAAATACATACCTCCTTCATAATTAGGTGACCAGTTTTCTAGATTCAATATTACCAATTTATTTCCCTGTGAATGGATTTCCTATTCTTTCTCTATGGGAGATCTAACCGTTCTTTCGTAAATGATAAATCACGTGCTATTGTAAGTTCTAACACAAATATGTTGTTTTTCTTATATTCGTTGTTTTGTCATATAATCAGGGAAGATCTATTTGTACTTTCGAGGTATGTTACATAGTTTCCTAACAAATACCACATTCAAAATCTACTGTCGCATCTAGAGTTGTTGAAGAATTTTCAAAATGTGAAATGGGATTTCTGGAAATTACGTATGTATGCAAAATAATAAAAGAGTGATATTAAAATGTGAGAGATCTAAATAAATCAAACAAAAATAGTCAAGTATATATATATGCCACTTAAAAGAAGGAAAGATGTTCCTTCAAGTCGGATAAAACCCTGAAGTACAGTCTACTATTGATATCCATTTCGCTTATGTTTTATACTTAGGATGTTTTCCTTCAGTCCTAGACCAGACCAGACCAGATCAGACTAGACTTAAACAGATCAGACCAAATCAGACCAGACTTGGATAGTTATAAAATACATAGAGACCAGACGTTTACCAGACCAGACCAATTCAGACCAGACCAGACCAGACCAGACCAGACCAGCAAATTTCAGTCCAAAAGAAAACATCCTTATACTATGTGTAAAACATTACTGAACAGTAGACATATTTGATACTCATGTCCATAACATTATAATTTCATTAATTTGATCAGCATTACTTACCTCATTTCGTTTGGATGTCTCATTCTTCATCTTTTCCTATACAAAAGGATTATGAAAATTATAAGCTTATATCGTAATTTTTTAAATACATTATAGTAGTACTTCGTACGAACTGTAATCATGTCAATAACATATTAATTTGATCACGAACTACTTACATCGTTTCTTGTAGAATTCCCATTTTCCATGGCGCCCTATATATAAAGTAAATAACCATGATCAATGTAAGTTCACTCTGTATACACCATTTCAACACATATTACATATTGTAGATAAAAAGAAGTATAGGTACAAATATACATGTTTAACAATCACTGTAGGGTTATATCCAAGTGATTTACATAAAGCGTAACTTTGTTTTATTACCGAAAGGGAAGGTATGCCTTGGTGAACAATTGGTTGAGCATCAACGACTCCCATCTTCTCAATATCTGCTGGTGTCTAATATATAGCATAATTTTTTTTTTTATATCAGTTCAAATGAAAGCTAGCTAGAAATAAGAATTCTGCATCACATCAATGTAGCACAGTAGCATACACTTGATTACTTAAACACGAATACATTCCTTAAGGGTATGTATGGAACTTTGGAGGAAGTGGAGGGGAAAACATCAAAGAAGTGCATGTTTTAATTGTAAGGATAATATCATAAGGAGCAGATATTATAATAACAAATGACATTGATGCCCTTTTAACACCAACTATTAAATGAAGCAAACAAGTACCTTAAATATATTGCAATGATTTTGTCCATAATACCACTTCAAATTAGAGCTAAATAATTTTCCATAACATTCTAAGCTCCGCATACTTTTCTAAAATAAGTACTCTGCATGTAATAATTAATTAATTCACATACCATTTTTGGTAAGCCCAACTCTGACCAAGTGATTGAGAAAGAAAACCAAACGTCCAAACATGTGGATGATGTATTCATTGAATACATAAGAGCATCTCCAATGGTTAGCTAAACACATTGTAGTTTTGCTTGCCACATCATTTTTTCTAGCTAATCCATTTTCCAGCAATATGATAGTCCAATGGTTAGCCACAATGCTTGTCTCTTGAATAGACCCCACAAATCAATCAATTTTAAAATACACATTATGAGTGAATTGATTTATTAATATAAAAAAATCAACTATGACTTTGACCAACCATTAATCCAACGTCCAACAAGGGTGAAAGTGCATACTAAAAAAAAGAAAAATTTGAACAATAATATGTATTTTGTTATGTAAAAAAATAAGGAATAATTTTTTTAACAACACATACATACTAAAAAAACAACTTTGACTGAAATAATATTTCATGAGAAAATTAAACATTTCTTAAAATTAAAAAAGCAAACACATTAAATAAAATAGATCTACTAAATTAAACAATATCAATTCAAATTTCTCTCCAAAACGTTGCCAAATATGCTCTCAAATGGAAGAGTACACTAAATTTTTACATATGAAAATAGAGTAGTGGGGGGTAGGAGAAAATAGTGTATAACTAAAATTGTAAACCATTCAGTATATATAATTAACGTTGTATTGCTCATACATCGCACAATTAATTAATATAATATATCAATTACAAATAAATTAAATATATTTGGTACTTACCATTTTAATTCAAGTTTCTCTCCTTTCTAGCAATTAGCTTGTTTTAGCTAATTTGCTTGCCCAAGCTAGAAGCAAAGATGTACTCCAATGGTATGGTGGGCTAATAGCTTCAAATTTGCAAGCAGGTCCCTAGAAGGAACCATTGGAGATGCTCTAAGAATGTCACTTGACTAATGAGAACCTCATCAATTTGATAAAACTATTTGTTACTCTGTATATCTTATTTTTTATCTGATTCACATTAAGTTAAGGTTATTCAATTCGATAAGAATTTAGAAAATCCATTATGGAATAGCTTAATGCACTTGAGGTTCTAGTTTATTTCATTCAATATCTGATCGATCTACCAAAGTGCATCAATATTGATGATATAATTTATACATTTATCCCTTTATTGTAGAACTTGAGCAATCGAGTGGGTTGCACAACATCACAATAAGAGCCTATATTGCATATGTAAGTAGATTATGTAGAAAACTAACCGTTACACATCTTCGAAAATTAGAGTCAAATCCCCAACCGTGCACTAAGTCATTCTGAATTCAAATGAGAAAATTAAAGTAGAGATTTTCATATCTTTTGTAACAACAAAAGAAGGGGGAAATTAATTAAAGGTGATGAGATATATAGATAACATTTCATTTGCATGTACCTGAATCATATACCACACACATTTCCATGCACTCCGAGAAAAGACAGGTGCCATTATCTCAATAAACCTGATATTAAACTAAGGAATTACTATATGAGATATAGAGGACTTATCTGGTCGGGCACGTACAGCCAACCGCGTTAAAGACTCTTCCGGGTTGAATTGCCTGATGCATATTTTTGAGAATGTTCTTCATGAAATGTAGATGATGTCCACAAAATTTCAGCTTAAAATCCAATCTGAAAGTCAGTTAATTAAATTAGTTAGAAACACTGCGCTTTATATATATATATATATATATATATATATATATATATATATATATATATATATAAAGCGCAATATTTTTCAATAGTTTATTTAACTGGCTTCGTGATTAAATTTTAAGATGAAACTTTGTGAAGATAATATACACTTTATGAACATCATGCTCACAAAATTTCATCACAAAATGCGACCAAGATGTCCCTCAAACGGGCTTGGCTGGACGGGATTCCGGTCAATCCGGACTGATGAGATAAGTTCTCATGAAAGTGAATGTAAAGTGACACAAAAAACACAAGACCAATATCTTTCATACATACGCCGCATCTATAGGTTGCCGAGTGTTTTGGAATTGATCACCTCTTCTCTCGTTTATTTCTCTAATCATGAAAGTATGGAATGAGAAATATAATGTTGGTAAATGAAAGCTTACCTCCGTTCTTTAAAATGAAGTTTCTGGTAATAGCAAGAGTACTTTAATGCCAAATAGAGCGATGTTAATCTCACAACATAGAAACTAGCTTTTAACAGTATGTATATTGTACATCTCTTGGTACATTTAATGATGAGTTCATTTCCATAATAAAAAATAGCCATTTAGATTCATAATGAGCATCTTTTATATTCATATAGGTATTATATTTGCTGGTCTAATGGGGGACCACTACCTCGTTTTGATTCGGGGATTAACCGCCCGACCTGCTGGCACCACGATGTAGTGCAGTCCCTTGTGTCAACCGATTGCTCAGTAGTGGGTTATGCACTGCCGTAGTGAACTGTGGGGACTATAGAGTAATGTGTTAAATAGAGGATATTCACCTTCTTATTACCCAATGATTTTTAGAAAAGATATGACTCTTATTTAATCATAAAACTCTACAGTTTAGCAAGGCTGAGGCAGGAAAGTGTTGATTACCATTTCTATTTTCTTGATACTTAATTAATGATTAACTAAACTAGCTAAGTTGTATGTTTGAACACTCTTACTTGTGAACTTCCATGCCGTTTATCTGCCTTGTTATGTTATATATTATCCACACTCCCTCATTGGGTACCAATGCAGGTTGTGAAATTTCCAATCCATGTTTTCTCACAAGTTTAATGTATCTAAAATTATAGAAAACCAAAAGTAAGGTGAATTAGCAAGAAGGAATTGGAAGTATCATTAGTTATTATAGTTATATATATGACTCATGGGTAGTTAGTCGTTTACTTACTCTTCAGCGTCAAAATGCTCCACTCCTAAATCTTCATCCCATATAAATATATATTCATATGGTGCAACAATGTTTGGATGTAGAAATCTTTTTGCATACCACCTTTAAACAGAAAAAGAACATAGAGATTATAATGAATCATTGGCTCAAGTACCGCTAATAGCCCGTTTGGTAGCACGAAAATCGGCTATTTTGGCTGATTCTGCTGAAATGTATGAAGTTTTGGCTGAAGTGGTTGTATTGGCTGATTCTACTGATTTAAGAAAAAAAAAATTTTAAAATATACTTTATTAATAAAATAAAGAAAAAATATATGTAAAAATAGCTAAAATGATCATCTACAATAACTTCAGCCAATACAGCCAAAAAAGTAACACCAACCTTACTTTTTCTGTTTATTACACAATTCAGCGCACGAAAGTAAAAGTTACGTGTTTGGTGAAAAAGTTGGCTAATAAGTCTGATAAGCCGAAAACCAATGTTGTCAAACGGGCTCTAATACTACCAAATTATATCCTATTAAGATTGAGACATAAAGTGAAATGAAATAATGTGGTGATTATTTAATTAGAATCATACAAATATAATCAAATACTATCCTCCGTATCATAATAATTGCAACATTGGAATGTACACACTATTCATGTACTCTACTTTGACTACATTTTATTTATTAATGTATGTGAAGTATTTTTTTTTTTTTTAAAAATATTGTTAAATTCATCTCATTACAAAGTTTCATAATCTAATTTTTAAAAGTTTTTTACTAATAGAGAATTAAATATAAAAAAAAAAGAAATGTTGCAACTAAAAAAGAACGGGCGAAGTATAATTGAGACAAATTTGGTAACAAGACACAGAAAGTAAGGTGACAATTGGTGATAGGACAGTGGATATATATATATATATATATATATATATATATATATATATATATATAGAGTAGTCTTCCGGTCAGGTATACCTGACCGGAGCCCCGTCCGGCCTCCTCCATTTGGGGGCCTTCCCGGTGGTATTTTTTGCTCAAATTTTTTGTGTAGGTTCCTTATCAAGTCTAGTTCATCCATACCAAATTTCAGCCAAAAATTCAATCGGGAAGGTCGTCAAATGATTTTTGCAAGTTAACTGGTCCGGAAAATACATATTCCGGACCAGTTAACTTGCAAAAATCATTTGACGACCTTCCCGATTGAATTTTTGGCTGAAATTTGGTATGGATAAACTAGACTTGATGAGGAACCTACACAAAAAATTTGAGCAAAAAATACCACCCGGAAGACCCCCAAATGGAGGAGGCCGGACGGGGGGAGTGGTCCGGCCTGGCCGGACCTGAATAGTTGTGTATATATATATATATATATATATATATATATATATATATATATATATTCCATAATAGATAAAACCAGATTTGCTTTTTAACTTTTAAATCAAGGGGTCTGCAATTTATAAGAAACCGTTACGTTACTGGTTGAACCGGTTAAATTAATATGCTAAAATTATGGCTGGAAGTGATAAATATACTAAGTTATGAAATAGCTATATATAAAAAAGATTTTATTAATAAATTTAAGAAAAAATATACTCCGTTTATGAAAACGAATCTAAAATTGTTCTTTTGGGCTAATTAAGAAAAGAAATTCAACTCTATTTGTTTGATGAGGTATCACACAAGTAAGGGTGTTTTCTTTTGGACTGTTTGCAGTCCCAGACCAGACCAGACTTAAACAGACCAGACCAGACCTGAATTTCTTAGTTTTTTTTTCTTAGTTATAAAATACATAGAGACCAGAAATTTACCAGACCAGACCAGACCAGATCAGATTTAAACAGACCAGACCAGACCAGACCAGGAAATTTGAGTCCAAAAGAAAACATTCTTAGGCCCGCAGTAGCGCGCAATTATTAATTAGTCGTACCATTTAGTCTGTTGATGAACGGTAACATGGATGGCCTTCTTGGACCACTCGAATTCATCCCACTCAGACGTTCGACCATCATAGTGAAATAGAAGAATTGTAAAGTTATCTGAAAACTGAGACAACAGCTATTAGCTAGAATAATTGCCAGTTAATTAGCTAGCTAGCTAGTTAGGAACATTAATTAAGTACTCCATGTTTGGGCCGGGAATTGAGAGGTAAAGCAGGGATTTGGCACGAAATCATCGATCAATTCGTGTCAAATTCTTGACAATTCCGTAATCTTTTTGTAGGGTGGAACCAAAATTTGCTAGGAAACTGCACACTAACGAACCGTTGGTTCATGTACTTCTTCTAATCATTCAATTCAAAAAAGGTAAATATAAACGCATGTAGAAATTTAGAAACATCACTTTTTTCACTGCAGCATCAATGATCTTCTTCTGGTCGTAGCTGACCGTAAATGCTACCAAATACTTGGGTTTAGTAATTAGATCCTGCAAATTATAAACATATTATCCAGATGAACAGAAAGTATATATGTTAAATTTAACTTGCAACACCCAATGGAAGAAGTGAAAAAGATGTATGTATTTAGAGAAGTGAATTGAACTTGCCTGCGCTGGATTTCCCCATAAGCGTCGGAGAAAAAAATCCGAGTCGGATGCAACAATGCCGGGAACTAATCTCTCCGCTCCTTTTGGATTTGTTGCCACCCAAATCTAATCCGCACAAACATTCCATCTATTACTCCGCACAAATATTTTAAAATGCAAATCTTTTAATTTGCATTTTATTATTTACGTACCAAGTAATTTTTGCTCTCTCTTTATTCTCACATGTCACTACATACTGTTCCAGTATTCTTATTTTTTTGTAATAAAGAAAAGAAGCCCATTAGCCCAGCAAATTACAATAATAATACTCCGTAATACATAGTATACTATCTACGGATAGTATAATACTATGATAAAGTTAATTTCTTGTACATTAACTAACGGACTTGGAAGTTGGATCACAGTATCACACAAACAGTTAATTGAGAGAATATAAATTGGATTTTAAACTCAAATTGGCAGAAGTAAACGAGTGGACTATGATAGAGATACTTCATAGGTTAATAATGGTTAATGACGGAGGATAATAGAGATACCGTTGTAGAATTGGCAAGGTTTTGGTTTTGTGTGGTGCTGATTTCTCCGCTTGACTTGACCGATTCTTGGTCCGGCAAACGTTTGTTAACAGTACCTATTGAAACATTTTTCTGCATAAAGTAGAGAGTACCAAATCATTCATTATTTACACATTCTAACTCATTGTACGGACTCTGAGTAACTATTTTCTTATACGGAGTATTCCTTATTGTAAAAATCGGACCAACGGGTCAATCCTGACCCGATAGATCAAACCCGATCAATGCCATGGAATCGGTCAACATTTAGAAAATTATGTATAAATTAAATTAAAAAGTAAATTATACTATGATAATCAAGTGATTGGTAAGCATTTAAAACACTCTCGTATATAATACTTTAAAAAACAATTTTGTTCCTATTAGATTAAATAATGTTAGGGAGTATTTGTTATTTGTATTGTACATTAAGGAGTATAATATAATTTGACATGATTATCTTTCTTCAATAAATATATAAATATATGGATTCTTACTCATTATGGGTATTGGAGTTGCAATTTTATTAGTTTCAAAATACTTTAAACCCTAAAAATTGAAAAACCTCTCTGCAATCGGGGTTTTCGGGTTGCCTGGAATTTTCCAGCCTAGATCCATATAAAGTTTTCTGGGATGACCAGGTTTTTCCGTTTTTTACGATTTTTCAGGTTTTTAAATACCCAAATTGAATTTTTATTTGGGATGCCGATTCTGGGTCGATTTTGTAAATGAGTAATTTGAGTTTGCACCCCATTTTATTGTTCAAATTGGACTTTGCAATCCGTTTTTAAAAAAACTTTGTATTTGCACCCAACCTCGTATGAGAAGACAAAAATGCCCCTCGATCAGGAATATGTTGAAGGACAACAGAATTGTAATGGAGGGGCATTTTTGTCTTTTCATACGGGGTTGAGGTGCAAATACAATTTTTTTTATAAACGGGGTGCAAATTCAAATTTGGACAATAAAAGAAAGTGCAAACTCAAATTAACCCTTTCTTAAATAGAGTTTTATTCATGAATGACCACAAAAAGACGTTTACTCTATTAGGGATTGAGATCATCTGCCATAGGCAGAGTGCCTTATTCAAATGAATGGCACGAATTGAAAATCAGGCCTAGGGATTCGTGGAAAAATGGGACCCTTGATCCTCAACCCTTCATTTTTTTATCTAATCAGGGCCAGTTCTAGGGGTGGGGCAGTGGGGCACATTCCCAGGGCCCATCTCTTACATGGGGCCCATATTTTTTAATATAATGTTATATATAGTATGAGAAATGATTTTATAAGAATTACGTCATAGGAACCACCGTCCAAATGAATTTTTTGGTGGAAGTTTATGAGCATATTCTTCATTAAGTGTAGATTGTGTGAACCGAAATTCACATTAAAATGCAATCGAGAAGTCAGTTAAATAAATTATCATAAAATACTGAGTTTTCTTAATATTTATTGGCACAGTATTTTTCAGTTATTTATTTGACCAACTTAATAATTGAAATTTTTGGTGAAATTTAGTGGACATAATCTGCGCTTCATGAGCTAGATGCTCACATAATTTCATAAAAAACATTCACTCATAAGCAACTCAAATGGAGGCGACCCGACATCGATCATTCCTCTATATACTACCGAGTATATTACTATTATAATTTATAGATATTTGTTACACCTACGATTTTTTCCGGCATTGAGAAGACGCACTTTGGCCTCTATTGAGTCTCTTTGACATTGAAGATATTAGATTTTGTAATTTTTTTGTACAAAGTACTACTTTCTTTGTGTATTGAACTTTTTTTTTACTAAAATTGATTTTCAACATTATAATCGTAAGGGCCCATTCTTTCAATATGTCCTGTGTCACCAAAATGTCAGGACCAGGCCTGTATCTAATAATGGATGAAAACAATTAGGCACCCTCCTTGTCTACTTAACCAAGGCAAAGACGCCGGATCCCTCTAATAAGCCCCGAAAGGTACACTAAATCCATGTTAATTTGATCTCATATAATTCAATTAGTATTCATAATTGATTTGAATTCGAAGAATGAATCTAATTCTAATAATCACATACATAAGAGTGAGAGATCGAATTAACATGAGATTGCACTAATGAACACTATGTTTGATAATACTGAAATTAGTTGAGTTGAATCTGCAAAAATAAGTACGTGAAACATTGGTTGAAAGTGATTGAATGTACTGAATTATGAGAAAATTCTATTTAAAATATTGTATATTTTATTAATATAATAAAAAAAATTAAATGAGAAGTGGCTAAAATAGTTTTTTCACAAATTCAGTCAACTCAGCAACTCCAACATCAATTATATACATAGTATTAAAATGAATTAAACCAAAAATAGTGCGTGTGAATGAATTACTAAAGTGTGTTTACCATATTTGATGTGAATAAAGCTTGGCGTAAAACTCCAAGAAAGAATCCTAAAGCAGCTCCAGTAATAATTCCGACAACAAGCTGCTCCATTCCAGTTGTTCTTTTCCCATTTTCCCTACACATGCATATACAACGTACACATCTAGCACGGCTTCAATTCACAATATATATATATATATATATATATATATATATATATATATATATATATATATATATATATATATATATATCACGTACGAATAATTAAAATTATGATATCACACTCTTTGCACTATTTTAGAACCAAAAGACCGATCATTAATACCAGGCCAATACATATGTTTGTCTCGAAATTATTATGATCTGACTGAGATTTATTTAATTAGAGTAGAAGTATATATTGTGAATCACATTATACTTCCCTTGAATCAATTCAAGAGATCGGACAAGTTTATGATCAAGAAAAGTCAATATATATAAGAAAATTTGTGCCAATTTGATGGAATATAATTGGGAGATGAGAGAGGGTAGGGAGTATGAGCATTTTTACCTGCAGCATCTGAAGATCCTCATCACGATCCACTTTGGAAACGAATATGGTTGATCGAAGCAGCTAGTAAACCCAGTTGGCCTTGAAGCTGCAATTGTTTGAAATGAATTGATGGAAGCCAGATTTGAAGCAGATGTCATGGTCAAGGCCGGCCGAGTTTCGTGCGGCCGGTCAAAAGTGTCGCATTAATTAGGCGCAGCTCAGATCTTGTCCTAATAAACTGCCGTTTCATGTCACGTCTCAGGTGGACTAATTTAGGATGTTTTCGTTTGCACTTTTTTCACTCCCGGACCAAATCGGACCAAATCAGATTAATCCAGATCAGATCAGATCAGATCAGACTTCCGTAATTATAAAATACACAGGGACCAGACGTTTACCAGACTAGACCAGTTCAAACCATACCAGACCAACAAATTTCAGTCCAAAAGAAAACATCCCTATTACCAAGCAATAAGTATTGTAATACTCCGTATTTCTTAGGACATCCACATCCATAGATTATTTTTGGGATCGTTTTGATGATGTGAAAGATTTTTTGGGGGATCATGGATGAGGAGTTGGGATTATTTGATAAAATAATCTGGTATCAAATTCTAAAGCTAGATTATTTTGAGATTATATTTCCAATTTTTAGACTTCTCTCTTCATTTTCTAGGCATATACTCATAATTAAGGTGATGACTAGCTTTGTAGTTCGTGTGAAGTAATAGGCATGTCTCATAAAAAATCTAGGAAAATTAATCATGGATGAGGCCGGATAAATTGATAGATGTGGTGATTATTTGAGATAATATTATGTGAAAGTGACATGACAATAAACCATAAAAAACCATAAACTTGAATATGATGAATGGCGATGCTCTTACTCTTATTATTTTCAGGTAAGCAGCTTAGACCGCCGCAAATTGTGGTAATTAAGTAACGCTCCCTAACTTTTACGTAGTATGTTAATTAAGTGGGGTATGTTTGAATTGGCAGAATCACTTGAAAAAATATTTTATCACGGAGTACCATTTTAGTAAATGAAAAGAACTTAACAAAAGTGGTAGTAACTACTACGTACTACTATCTTTATATATATAAAGATCCTATGGTGGGATTTCAGGTGGGATCTATTTGGAGTCAAAACATGTGAAAAATTGTTGTCTCAATTAAATATCTATCTTAATACTTCATCAATGCACTTTCACTTACGAAAACATGCATAATACTAGCTAATTAGTATTTTAACTTCAATAATACGTAGTATTTGCTAAAGTAGTAGTTGGGTAATACGGAGTACTAAAACTAATTGAGTACTCCGTATAATAATAATTAGTGGAATACTTTTTTTGAAGATTTAAAAAATGTTTTCAAATGTTTTTGCTTAAAAAAACACTTTTTGAAATTATTTTGGAAAAAGTGATTAGTAGTAAAAGTTAGTATCACTTGAGAGAGAAAATGTTTTTGAAAAGTAAAAGGTGACAGTGTTTGGTAAAATATGCGCTTTTTGTGTAGTAGTAAAAGTAAAGAGCAGTTTTCAGCCAAAAGTCAAGAAACGTTTATTTAAGTAGAAGTCATTTGGAAACACTAATTTTAGCCTTTTAAGCCAAAAGTCGAGAATCGCTTTTTTAAGTATTTGCAAACGCTCTCTTAGGGGTTATTCCATTAGCCGGATAGGAATGTTTTTATTTGAATTTTTAATATTTCATATGATCTGAGTTTTTTTAGCTGATCAGAAACTTTTTTTTTATCTGAATCAATCTCACTCAGATCTAAATATTGCTAATGTAATTAGATGTTTATTATTGCTGCGGTTATTTTTGTTATTATCATCACTATTATTGTGATTAAATTTATAACTATAATAATAGTTAGAACTATAACTATACATCTAAATCTTTCTCATGTGAACTTAATTTTTCCGATTTGATCTAACTTGAATTGTCCCTTATTTGATCTGGTCTGAATAAAATAAAAATAAACAATAAGCAATAAGAATAAGGTAAAGTAATTAAAATACCTCAAACTTTAAAAGGAGTGTGAATTAAGCACCCCAAACTTGCATATATAATTTAAATACCCCAACCTTAATGTAAAAAGTTCTTTTAGCACCAGTCATGTATTATTTCTTTCAAAATTGTTAATTTTTTGTGTAAGTTTCACAATTTCAAATATTTTAGCATTCTAAAAAATACAATTAACATTCTAAACTTCCATTGCAAAATAAATAATAATTCCCCCACTAGAGTGAACAATTGCAACATTTTTAATTTGTTATTTTAAATTATGCAATTAACACCATAAATAACATTTTTGAAAGGAATAATATAGGACCATATTGCTAAAATAAATTTTACATAAAGTTTGCGGTATTTAAATTACATATGAAAGTTTGGAGTGTTATCTCACGCTTCTTCAGAGTTTAGGTATTTTGATTATTTTTCTCATAAAAATATGACGAACACAATAACTTCTCAGTGACAGTTAGTAACTACAAATTAGAAAAGTCACATTCATAAATTAAAAATCATAAAACTTACCCTTACTCTGTCTCATGAAACTTTGCTAACATTCGTTATTTTTGTTATCTCAAAAATTTATAATCCCTTTGTCTCATAAAAAATTATACGAAATATGAGAAAAAACTAAAATGGTTGATAAATTTGATAAACCGTAAACATATATAGATCACCAAAGGGTTCCTAGATTTCCCGTGCAACGCACGGGTTTATCGTCTAGTTTGAATATATACACTATTCATGTACTATTTGAATATGCACGTACTACTATTTCATTTTATTTTTTAATGTATGTGAATTATTTTTTTTGAAAAATATTGTTAAATTCGTCTCATTACTAAGTTTTATAATTTGTTTTTTATTTTACATTTACTAATACGGAATTAAATATAATGACGTTTAAAGTTGTGTGTTGACAAACGTGAAAAAAGGAATGTTGCAACTAAAAAAGAACGGAGAAAGTAATTGATTGTTTATTTTAATTCGGTTTCATATACAAGTTGTTGGGACTAATAAATGTTAAAAGCCACAGAATACATATTTTATTTGGATGCTTACTCATTGTAGCTTCTCAAAAAAGATTTTTTATTTTTAAAAGATCTTAAAATCGGCACGTCAAACATATGACTCGAATCTTTTAAAGACTTTTTAAATATTATAAAAGCTAGAAGGTAGGATCTTATGTTTGCCAAACATGCACATAGTATACCTATTTCATGTGCAAAATTATGAATCACGGTGATCTACAATTTTAGTTTTATGACGTTAACTAGATTCTTTATCCGTACGTTGCACGGAATGTATATGTTATATATTTAACTATATCATTAGTTGACGGTGGGAAACTGGGAATCTAAAGAATAGTTTGACCAACTCAGATGTACATCTATTAAAAATTTGGGATAAATTTTTCAGAACGCAAAGTTTGACAAAGTTGGGATCACTTCGTACTACCAAAAATACTTGTCATTAGATATATAAATATTCTCTTATGTATCTGTGTTTATATAATATAATTACAATGGATCCAAGCAATTGAGAAATGCTAAAAATGTTACTGATCAAACTTTTGTAAACGTCCATTTAGCAAAACATTAATTGATAGTATAGCTTCTTAAATCAAAATTTTCTCATTATCAAATATTCAATATTAAAATGTAAGGAGTATTACATCTTCATAATATTAGTAGAAAAGTGTCTCTTTAAACGTGTACATTTATCATTCATCATGTCATTTTCCATCGAGATTGGAAAATAAAAAAAATAATTACATGCTTAGGAAATCGTAAAACCTCACATGTAGTCAATCATGTAATGTGCAATTGAACCTATTTGATGACAATCAATCGGATATGAAGTTGATTCCACGTGATCATTTAATTTTTATAAAATGGAAGAGAAAGTATTTCACAACGAATCAATATCGTACCCAAATTCTTAAGAATTACTATCCGGATATACAAATCAATGAATCTTATAAAATCCTTATAATTCATCTAACTAAAAATTGCCAATTTTAAAGAAAAGGATTGACCTTATGTTAAAGGGAAAGATCATTACAACATTTTCTATCTATCAATACGCTGAAAAACCGTTGCATAATGGTTAAAAACCGTTGCATAATGGTTAAAAACCGTTGCTATTATTTTTAGCAACACTTTCAAAACTGCGGCAATGAGAGATATTGCCTATGCTTTTGGCAACAGTTTTACATTTAAAGGCAACACAATACAAAAAACGTACTTATAGGGTTTGCATAGAGAACCGTTTTTTAAAGTAAATAGGACAACAATTTTGAAACGTTTTTAAATAATACTCCCTCCGTAACTTAAAAATCTTCCCACTTTCCTTTTTCGTCCGTAACACAAAAATCTTCCCATTTCTAAATCTTCCCATCATACCCTCAATAATTCTTAAAATAATACACTATTACAACTACTTTTTTTGGATTTATCCTACATTCCACCACATTATTCCACTATTTTCCCATCATACCCTCAATAATTCATATCATCTTTCACTATTCTTAATCTACCTATTTTTGAAATGGGAATATTCTAAAGTTACGGAGGGAGTAGTAACAACAAACAACGGTTGCCAAACATGTTACATACTCCGTACATTTTTTATTGCTGCCAAGCAATGATAACAACTCTTGTAAAATTGTCAACGTTTTAAAAAATGCAGCAGCTCTATTTTTCTAAATCAAATTCAATTACAGGATCAATGAAAAATCTTTGAGATAAGAGCTAATGCTTATCCTTCATATTGATGTTACAGAGGAAAGATTAAAGTCTAAAATGTTTAAGCATGTACCTTCAAAAGATGTAAAAATCGATATTAGTAAATTAATTCTGAAATATTAATACAGAGTAATTGTCAAGAACTAGAGAGATATGAGACAGAGCAAGGATCGGAGTAAATTAATAAAAGGGAAAAGGTGCAAATAGGCCTATGTACTAACCAAAAAGGTCAAATAAGCTCTTATTTAGAAGGTTCTGTCCGGCCGTCGTCATTTGGGGTGGTTCCCGGTTGAATTTTTTTATGAAATTTTTTGACCATCTTATTTATCAAGTCTAGTTTACTCATACCAAATTTCAGCTAAAACTTCTGTTAGGTCCCTGTTTTCTAGTCTATAAAATGTATGTATGGAAGATAGATCTGGGAATGAAGCTTTCCATTGAATGATGAAGAAGTTTAC